TATTTTTTGTAGTCCGGTTACCTCGGATTTAAGTTGTCGTAACAATCCGGGATTAGGCCGAGTCTCATGGTTTTACGATTTAGTTTCGTACATTTTAGACGTTATTTTTAAATTGAGGTGGATTTGTCTAGGGGCTGATAATATGATTAAAGACTTACTTTTATTCAGTTGCTTTTATTTTAAGCGTCATTGCATCGATTATAGCAAAACAGGCACTTCGCCCAATTTGAAAGAGTCTCTTTTAGTTCGATGATAGCGAAACTCCTGTAGGTTGAAAGTGGATGTTCCAAATGATACTCGATTCCAAAAGACATGCACATTGTTAAACAAAAACGAGAAATCCGATGGATTAATCCTTTTCGATCTGCATTTGAGGTATTTTGTTCAGCGTTGAAATCAATTTCAATTCTTGACTTCTCTCTTGAATATAACTGAACAACTTACGCCAAATATTTCACACTATGTTTTGTCTTGTTTTGACAGCTCATTTTTTGTCAAGTGCGACCAGTATGTAACCGCTAAAGGAGGGGATGACAGTGAGAAAATACAGACAAAGGTGACATCAGGGACGCAGCACCCACACATGCAGCATAGGGTTTGTAGAGGGAAAGAGTGGTGAAGTTTCAATGTCCGTTTACGGAAAAGATTGCACTAACTGGTCTCAGTGCAGTGCTAAATCATCTACCTTCTGCAACAGTAAAGACCCTTCTTTGATTACGGAAAAGGCTGTACCAACTGGTCTCAGTGTATTGCTAAATCAGTTAATTACAACACACTCCGCAGAACATCTCATATGCTAATGTGGGTGTGACGTTTTAGAAAAACCTTTCTAATTGGACAATAATTACATCTTTGAAGTCAATCAATATCAACTCATTAAGAACGTCAACTTCGGGGGAGAAAGTGATTTTACTTATGAGTTCCACTGGCTGATCACAAGTCAGTAGAATAACAATCACACAACAGTAAAATCTCAGTAAAGAAGAAACTCGCCTGGATTCATCAAGATGAAAACACTATTTTTCATCATTCTGACCGTTCTTATTACTAATGGTAAGTCTTATAACATAAATCACTGTTGAAGAGATATTTCGTGCTTCAAAGTCGAAGTTAGTGTTTCCTTACAGTTAGTTTTACAATGAGAAAGCAACAAATATGCAGCTGTGCTCTGGTTGGTGTCGCGTACGTATATCATGAGTCAGTGATAAAATCGTGGTTCGGTAACTATCTCAAAACAGAGATGAATGAGAATCTTGACGTTGCTGTCTTTGCCCAACCCCGATTGTCCAAAGTTGAGACAAGTTAGATGTCTAACCTAAACAAAGACATATTCTTGATTATGAAATACTGGTAATTACCACAAACCACGAGCAGAGCTGCATTCTATTACTCACATACCGAAATACTCCAAGGAAGTCTCTAAAGCAACGGCAACCGTCCTAATTTGTGTTAGGTTATGAAAAACCAAAGGGCAACCGCAAAATCAAATAGCAAATGAGCTCGTAATCTCTCACGACTTGCCTCCAAAGAAAAACAGGAATACCTTATTGACTTAACAGTTCTCTAAAACATTATCCAATTGAGTGCGACACTCCTACAGCAATACTCCTATAAAAGAATACGTAAAATATCAATACTGCATCCGTTAAGTTTGGCGTTTATGTGTAAACTTTATGGACAATTTGCCCACTGAACCGGAATCACGTGCTCTCACTCACGTAACAAAAAATAGATAAGACGAAAGTCTATTAAAAAAAATTCTCAAGTTGTATTTTGATACTACATAAAAACAAGGGAAATTTAAAATTGAGAGGAATACGTGTTTTTAATCCTCATAATTCGATTGCAAAGCTGAGAAACGGGAAGGCTTCTCTTGTTGATAACTATGTCAACTTGCTACCCTCTGCATTTTATATTAGCATCATTGTTTTGCCGATTCATCGGCAGTCAAATACGTGTAAAAATATCAGCCTAAGCGGTTTTTGTCCCATCCATGACAAATTTAAAGTTATTTATAAACCGTGATATCATTATGCAAAACTTATGAGATTTTTGTAATACTAAATATTACCGCTTTCATCTATAATCACGCATTTGTCACGAACGTGGGTAATAGAATGACAGGTTCAGTGACCTTAAAAATTTTGTTGATAAACTGGTTGACATCACTTTATTTGACTTCTTTGTCTTTTTACTCAACCCAGTATTGTCCCAGACATGATACACTTTAGTATACTTTAATCATTTTTCATAGGGAATGCCCTCCAATGCCGGTCGTGCTTTGCTCTAAATAGTTGGGAAAACTGTGACAAGGTACAGTTCACGATGACCTGTCCGCCCGGTTACGACCGTTGTGGAAAAGGTTATGTAGAAAGAGAAGGTACTGGAATTCATATCAAGGGCTACAGTAGAGGCTGTATGAACGCCAAGCAGTGCAACCCTGCAACAAATAACGCGTGTAATCTGGATGATGGGTCAACAAAAGTCACCAAATGTGATATCTACTGCTGCCACGGCTCCTTGTGTAATGGAACCAAACTGCCAATGGTCAGCACCATAATGTTTTTGGCATGCGTTTTTTTCTGTTTTTTTTTTTTATTTAGTTGATTAAAAGGTGTGGTCAACCATCTGATAGTTTACAGTGGCAATTCGTTACATCTAAAATTATATGTCATAATCCTTTTTCCAGTTGTTATGAGCTCCAACAAACTTTTTTTTATATAGAGTTTCCTCAGTAAGACTGCTTTAGCAAAAACTGTCATTTACAGCAGTTGTCCTTCCGCCGCTGAATAAGACTATTAGACGGACGTTTTACTTATCATCGTGCGATCCTGAATTATCTACTCATTTAAGCTTACTTTGCCCGAAAACGCGGCAATGTATTCTACTGTAGTTTTAATATCAAATAGTTGCTGTTATTTCAAGAAACGAAAAAAAAAAGCGATTATCATTAGCGAATCACATGTCTTCCGTTGATGATCCTCGAGTAAACGCCCTTTAGAGAGAGAAGCAAAAGTAAATCCACGATCTTGTTTAACGTCAGAACTAACATTCCAACAAGGCTGTCGTCACCAGGTGACTCGGAGAGCTGGGGTTGATAGTATTCACCAATTTCAATCAAAGGGCTCTGAGAGCCAGCTCATTCATGTAATGGATAATTTTTATTGTATCTGTTATTGCTGGTCATGGGAATTATTTGGGGTGACCTCCCATTCAGAGGCTAATTTCTTGGCCTATGTCCCCTCCTGTGAAGCCCCATTTTTTTACATGCATCTCCCCTAAACCCCAGGAGGATCCCCATGCGTTATAAAAAATGGACAGTGTCTTGATATAATTGCCACATTCACATAAATAATTGAAGTTAACACAAGATAAGTTTATTTCAAAATGAGATAAAAACATGAACAGCAAAATTATGGTAATTGAAACTGAGCAGTGTTATAATCTCAGATACAGGAGTTGATGCATTTTTTTAAACGAACTATTTACAAGCAAGTAGTTAATTAGTCTACATTAAAAATTACGCAATCAAAGCAAAGTAACAATAACACTGTTAGGAATGGAATGAGGGCAGTAGATATTTTTATTAAAATTTAGAATAAAATCAAGTTCTGAAGGATACTAAGAAAGAAAGTTTGATTATTTGTTTTCTGTGATTAAGAGTTGCCATCATGCTTAGTTTTATATATATGGTAGTGAAAAAGTTACCATCTTTCCAACAATGAAATCGTAACATTAAACAATAGCTTTAATAATTAAAAAAAACAACAGTAACAATAACAATTGGAAAACCACCTGGGCAGGTTCTGTGGTAATTAAGCATTATGAAGTTCAATGCATTTTTTTCCATTAAGAATATTATATAAAAAAAAACAAACAACAGTAACAGTAACAATAACAATGGGAAAACTACCTGTGCAGGTTCTCTGGTAATTGAGCATTATCAAGTTCATTGCATTTCTTTCCATTAAGAATATTAAACAATATAAACAGCACATAAATTGCAAACGCTTTCGTTAACTTCTCCTTTTTGTGCAAAGAATGTAGCAAATGAACTTTTAACCATAAGTTCTATTGTTTGTGTGAATGTCAGTCAGCACCACCAAGTTCAATTGATTTTACAATTTTGTCATCCATAATAACTTGAAAACATAAGTTGCTGACATTTAGAACGGTTTCTTCCATTATATTTGCAGATAAGTGGTCAATGTTTTTGTCTATGTTGTAACCGGGGGCACTAGCGATTGTTTGAAATAACTCACTTAGAACAGCATGTGTACAAAAGAATCTTCCCATATTTTCTCCACTTTCGTCTTTAATCACAATGTTTGCCGTAGTACGAGATACCAGTTCACATTTCTTGATCTTCAAGTTACAGTTGGAACATTTTATAATATTTAATTCAGGAGCATCCGAAATTTTGTTGCAATTTATGCAAATGTATGTCTTCTTCTACCGCCATTATAGTACCAGTGATTTTCTTCTTTGCCTTTTCATGTGGTTTTATGTTTTCAGCTTCACTGGTAATCCCACCTGGAATGTCGATGTTTTCGCACTTTTTAATCGTTGTTTTTGTGGAAGAGCCGAGATATTTTTTTTTTGTACCAATTCAACTTAAGTTCTTTGAAGTGATAACAGCTGTGCTGTTCAACTTTGGCGATTTGACTTTCCCACAGAGTTACAGTTATCGCTCCAGTAGTGTCAGCGACAACAATGTCACATTTGGTGAGGTTTTTTTTCGCGTGTTTTGAATACACAGTTTCCTTATCTCCTTTGCACAATAATAAAGCAACATAGTACAAAAGGGGGTTCAATACAAAATTGACTGTCAATTTGGGGGGAGGGGGGTTTGATTAAAATACTGAAGTGCCTTCAAACTTTTGAGTTTTACACCACTGTTGGATAAGTCTTCGCAATCTCAATGAATTTAGGCATTTCAAATGTAAATTGCACAACAGAAACCGACAAAAATATGTTCCCAAGTTTGTTTGAAAGCCTTTTAAATCATCTTTTTCATAATGTCTTTTAATTATGTTTCGGTGAAGCCTCTCTCTTTAATTTGTATTACCTCTGCTTTCTCTAATATTTACTGGTTAAAAATATGTTTTGTTAAGGGAGAAGACGAGATCTAAAGGGGACTAAAAGTGGTGAACCATCATCAGCTGATAAAGAAGCTGATGGATCTTTAACAAAAAAACGAAAAAAATGTTGAAAACATGCGTTCATCGTCTTCTGTTGTTTTGTCGCAGATGATGCATCCAGTGTCACCCCACCCCAAGACCCACAAATTATGAAGCCACGTTTCAATGACCAGCGTCGTAACTTCTGACATGCGCTTTGATAAATTTACGCCGTTAACGTTCGTAAAGTTAATATTACAAATGAGGTAAAAGAACAAATAGGAACTAAGAAAACAACATACAGTACAGAGATTAAAAATGATGCAGTTTGAGAACAGACCCTAACTCTAACTCTTGTTGGAACAAAACGTTAAACAGGGAGAATCTCATTTGACGAAAGCCTCATAACATCAAAATGGACGAAATCTTAAAACAGATGATTATGTTCTTTTCTGTTAAAAACAGGCGTCGCAGTTTTTCTTGAGTTAGACTTCTTCCCTCGGCCAGTAATCGATCGATCATCTCCTAAGAGTTACTAAACATAACATAACAAACACATCATCCGCAACGTAATAGTGTTATCCTTCAATCAGGGCTTGATATCTCCATATCACACGGTGATAAATTCGCCGTGGGATCGTTAATTACTTCCAAAGGTTCTGGAGTAAGATCGTCCATTATCGTATTGTTTTCAAGTGAAGCTTTATCTTCCGTTGAAGTTTGTTCGATCCTGTGTCCACTATCCTCAAGTTTGGTTTCTGTAAATAAGAAAATGCTGAAATAAATTGCAATTCTAACGCACCACTTCATTTCTTTGTCTCACTCATCAAGTGCTTTAGTGACAAAAAATGCGAGCATTTAGGGTAACCAGTGAAAACTCTGGCTGGAGATCAAAACAAAACTCATACAATTCAGTGGTCTTTGGAACAATGTTCGCGCTTTAGTTTAGCAACCCCAATAACGCAAAACTTTGCTTTAAGGTTTCTTTATAAAAATGATAATCCTATTAAATTAGATCACAGGTTTTGTAACTTTTCACAAACACCCTTGTTTTGCAATTACAGAGCGGATCAAAGCACAATCATAAAGGTGCATTACCGGTGGAGGGGACAGGGTGATCACCGCCATTCTCAGTAGGGGTGAGGTGGGGTTCTGCGGATGTCTCTTCTTTAATGTTATCAAGTTCCTCCGTGCCATCTGCTCTACTTTGTTCTGTTCTTTCGTTAGTTTGCACTAAGGACAGATCAAGCGAAGTACTTTCTCTTCTCGAATCTGTAATAAAATAAGATACTGGAAATTGGAGCTAGGTGGTGACCTATCAATGATTTCAGTATAAAAAGCTTATTGTTAATAACAGTTTTTAATGACACCAAGTATCTGAGATAAAACGAAAAAAGGACAAGATAAGATTAGGAATTTAAAAATCTCAATTTCCATTAGAACTCACTCACCTGATCCAGAAATGCTAAACAGTGATTTAAAATGCGCGTAGAGTTGATTCGCTTTTTCTCGCACTTTGGAATTCTGTTTGTAATTTCGTATCTGTAGGAAAAAGTCAAAAATTTCGAATGAACTTAGTCTTAAGAAGCGATCTAATGTTAATTAAATAATAACGATATTAAAATACGTCAATGATAGGTGATCAGAATATCTTCAAAGAGCCTAGTAAAGGAATCTTTGAAATGTTAACAGAAGTTTCCAAATACAGGGGAGATTGAGATCACGACTGGGATTACTTTGGTCCTGTTCTGGAGATAATATCAAGGTTCATTACAGCACGAAATTCAAATTTATGAACATCTGAATGAATAACCATGTAACACACAGTACATCTGTACCAGGAAGGTCCAGTAATATTTTACGATACCTTTTTAATGGTCTGAACTATGTCTGGGTTTTTCTTTATGATATCTGGGTTTATCTCCATTTCGAAGATCTGAGTGATAATTTTTAAACATCTTGGCACATCCTACAAAAGGTGGACATAAAACTGTTCAGTACAGGAAATGTTGGCAGATTAAAATGACGAGATGTTATAGTCTACACTCAAACACTGACATTGTGACACTAATTTTAGAGAAAACGGAGTTCTTAAAAAGACGTCTTGGTCGGAGCTTCGAGCTTAAACCTTTTCAGAGTCACTATTTGGCGACCTAAAATCTAAAATGTCGCCAAAAATGAAATTTTAGTTACCACAAAAAAAGGAAAGGAGAACATAAATATTGACACGACGTTCTATGGCGCTAACTACACTCTTTGTGTTTATAATACGCTGGAGAGATATGATCGTTTTTTTGAGGTTCATGCAACATTTTAAGTTTCATTATTAAGATATACGACAATAGATATACAAATGTTTGTTAAAAAAAAAACCAAACAAAACACAAAAAAACAACGGAGCACTTATGATTATTTTTTCTCACAATAACGTTAGACCATAAGCACCAAGTACTTAAACACTGCAACTCGCTAAATTACCCCCAAACAAAGGTCACCAAATTGTTTATCACTCGCCATAGACACCTATGAGCACTGCTTGCAAACTAGACTCTATTTCCGCAGAGGAGGAACGCGGGCTCATTTAACAAACAGCAGCTAGTTATTGGGCCTACATGCAACTCAAGTCCAAATTCAATTTTGAAAATCCTAACACTACAAAATTCTGTCCTTCTTTTGAAGCTTTCCAAGATACACCTGATATTTTGACACGTAACTTACTTTTTTCAGTTGTTTAGATTTTTTTTTAACAAATGAACCACTTACTGGAGCCTCGACAGTGAGAGACATCACAAGATCATAATTCATTTTGTCCAAAATCTCTTCCACTGTAGGAGGTGTTGCTAAATTAAATGAAAAGTTTATCAAACTTTAGTACATGATCACAACGATGTAATAAAAGAAATATGGACTTTACAAAATTTGCTCCACTGCATCTTTAGATGTACTTTTCATCTGTGCTCTAACTCACATTTTCTTCTTTCTCTTTCTTTTCTTTCCTCTTCCCTCTGTTTGTCTCTTTCAGCCCTTTCCCTTGCCTTCTCCCTCTCTCTTTCTTGTCTTGCTCTCAGCTTCTCCTTCTCTTTCTCCCGTTCCTGTTTCTCACGTTGTTTTTCCTTTTCCTTCTCCAGTGCTTTAGCTTTCTCAGCTGCCAGTTTTTCAGCCTTCCTTTGTTCAAGTTTCTCTTTCTTCTTCTTTTCCTTTAACATTGCTCTGAAAGAAAGAAAAAAGAAACAAATTTAACACAGACCACAAGCAAATGTTCTGATTTTGCAACTTAAGGTATCAGAAAAACATTTTACTAATATGTTAATAGATAACGATAATTTACGTATATTTGCAGCACAGGTATTGCTCATCTTTCCAACTTCGTATTCTTCAATGGTAATTGAAGTTATCATGGGTGGGCACTTGTACAGACACTCAACTAAATGTGTTATTAGCTATCATTGGGCAACCTGACTTGTTATAAATCGAGTAAAGGGTGTGAACCCAAAAAGTAATAGTCTTTAAGATACAGCTTATATGCTTCAAGCCTCCGTCTTATTTTGTCTGTTTCTCTGTCTCTAATGCCTTCTTCATTATAAGTTTCAGGATATTATATTTTCTCCAGTCTTCTGTAATTTCAAAAAGTTTTAAGATTTTCACTTTATTTCTTATTAAATAGTGTCATGATCTCGCTGAACTTGAGTAACATCACTTCCATCAGGTCTACTTTGTAGAGATATCGAATAGCAAATTCCTTTCAATACAGATAAACCTCATTTTAATGAGAAAGCAAATGAACTAGAAGACATTGATTTAAAGGAATGCAATCATACTTCTTCTCTGCAAGTTTTTGGAGTTTCTCCTGTTTTTTCCTCTCTGCATCTTTGCTTTTTTCTTCATCTTCTTCCTTTATCTTCCCTCCATCTTTAATGGCGTCCTTTTCCTCGTCTGATGTCTTTTCCCCTTCCTTTTTATCTTCATCTTTTTTCTTTCTGTCTTCTCCTTTCACCTTCTTGAACTTTGGTTTATCTTCTGCTTCTGTTTTTGTTTTTGCTCTCTTGTTCTTTGGTATACTTTCTTCTTCACTTGTTTCCTTTAGAGAAGTTAAATGAACAATTAAATCTAGAAAAAGCACCTAAAACTTTACAACCAAGTAGCTGTCTTATCTCACTCTGACAGACACACATAACCCTACAATCAAACAAACAGTGAAAAAGTGTACATTAAGTCTTGTAATTAAGGCTTTTTGGCCCTCCTTCCCCTGGAGTGAGTAAGCATACTGAATTCAGAAAAATTATCATCAGGTGTAAACTACATTTACAAGTACAACTATTATAATTACTTTCTGATCAGCATCATTTTCTGAACTGCTGCTGCTACTGTCACTAATGGCCTTTGATGATTTCCTTTTCTTCCCTGCCTCTTTGGAAGACACTCTCTTTTTCTTGGGAGCAGGTTTATATTCCTATAGTAGATGCAGAATGGATGTTGACTGGTCAATGCATTCATTCATTCATACCCTGTAAATAGCATGCTTTTTTCCTTCACTCCCCAGTCCTGAGTGAAGGAGTTATTTATCTTTACCATATCAATTCATTATAAATTAAACAGGAGATGAGATGGAAAAAAATATATCAATTAAGGGATGCTTTTTGACTAAAACTGTTATCTCAAAGCTAAAATTAATATAAATGTAAGGTAGACAGAGAGGATAATTTTCATTAAAATCTTGGGAGCAAAAGGCTCCTAAGCACCATTCACATACAAGTCAAACAACACATGGTTGCTAGTTCCGAGCTACTTCCCTTCAAAATTCAGCTTTTAAACCCACTGAGAAGCAATGAGTTATACATAAATTGTTATAAAAGCCAGTAAATCCATTTACTTCTTCTTTATCACCATCTGAACTTTCCTCTTCTGGTGTTTCTTCTAAAGAACTTTCCTTGAAGAGAAAAACACCATAAAGACTTAACTCACTCTTATAGACTCCATGTATTTATAATCAACTCCTTAATGCTATCAGAATGATAACAATCATCCTGTATACTCAAAACTGATTTTGTAATATCTCAAACCTTGTCTGACTCTGACTTGCGTCTCTTTTTGCCCTGTGATATCTTCATTTTTCTCTCTTCATTGCTTGCTTCCTATCAACAAGAACAGAAAAGCTTATTTAAAATTTACTTGACAAAGATATATAATTCAAGAGATGGTTAATATATATTTTAACTAGGAAGCTAGAGACAAGAAAATTCTACCGATAATGTGACTGATCTTCGATAGAATATTCCTAATAGGAGATTTCTTCTTCTCTGGGCTATAAATATATTGTGTTATTGACCAAGCATAAAGTCAAGATGGCTTAGTATTGCATTATCATGGGCTGAGATGAAGTCAAGGTCCATGAAAATGCAAAAAAAAAAAAACTTAAAAAATACAGGCTAATAGCCAACCATCTTGGCCAAACAAACTTGGTCAATAAATGATTTACTGTAGACATCTGTAGCAAAAAGATTTTCCTTTAACGAAATCAAGAACGACTTGTTTACTGTCAAAAGCTGCAAAGAAAGCTGATAGTGAAGGTTGGTATTTGCACAAAACTCAGTTCTGTTTTTCTTTGTTTTGACTGTCTTTGGCCACTTTTTGGGACTTACAGCTGTATAGCCAACAATGTCCAAAAGCTATGAATTCTGAAAGTTCCCTTCATGCAATTATTTATATTGTGTGTGGGATCAAAGCTCACAATCCTGAGAGGGCAACATGGGCAACATAGTTCGCTTGTTAGTCTAGGTTTGAAACTGTGCTGGGTCATTGTGTTGTGTTCTTGGGTAAGATATTTTATTCTAACTTACAGTGTCTCTCTCCACCCCAGAAACCTGACAGAATACTATGGACGATAACCTGCTGTGCACTAAAATCCTCTAGAGGGGAGAGTAACAATACTCCTGGTTGCTTCATGCTAAGGGAATCTGCATAAGCCCCAGCAGGATGGACCACTTAACAAAAGTGCAGATTTTACCTTAAATGACTAAGGAAGTTGAACCTTAGTCTTAAGAGAGGGACAAAGGAAAAACTAAGCTAGTCATGAGGATTACAAACTCAGAGCTCATAATTCTACAATGGGATGCTCTTCCAAATGAGGGTGCTCCTTGTCAGGCAAGCTACACTATCTACACTTGTACTCCACCCATATCTGCTAAGTCTCAAATATCATTCTTTACCTGATTTGATGGCTTAGTATCTTCTTCATCAGAGTCTTCATCCTCTAACTTCTTCTCATCCCCAGAATCTTCGTCTCCTTCTCCCTCTTCATCCTCTGAATCTTGCTCATCCACATCCTGTCCACGCATACCCCATTTCACCTTTGGATTCTCCAAAATTTCCACTAAAGCTTCTTTGAAACCTCTTCTTGATCTATTTGAGTTTTTCAAAAATTTATCTTTGTTCTTCTCATATGGAAACAAATCTTTGGCTTGCATCACAGCCCTGGAAACATTGAAAATCATGCTACTAGTAGGTTAATAAGAAGTGAGATATCCTTCAATATGGCTTTTAATTCAAAAGAGGGGTTCAGGGAGCTGTCTCCAATAAAACAGTTTTAAAGTTCTGCAAGTCTGTCAAAAGTAAGGGCTTAAGATTGTGACCAATACAGGCACTAATGCAACTAACATTTTATGGCTGGAGATTAAAAGCTATGGTTCAGATGCCCCCTTAGCAAGTGGATGTTTGAATGTTTCAATCAAAAGTTACACTGTCTGATACACTGTCAAGTTCAAAAGGACCTCCTATTGTCTAGTTTTACTTTCGTCTCAAGAAATAAAGAAACTTGCATACACAAAACTTGTCAACAAAGAACACCTCTTGACCAAATTGGTGACTTTCCTAGCAAATTTAGTCATAATAGATGTTTTAAATCTTTTTATATACCACAGTGACCAAGATGGTCATGGCTTAGAGTGCTGGTATGTCTTTGGGCACTCAACCCTACTGTTAAAGATGACAAGAGACATAAAATTTATGTTTGTACACAGTGACTGATAAGACTTTCTATCTTTGACATAAGAGGTTCTGAAGCAATGTGAACACAATCATGATTAACTGATAAAAATCGCCTGGATCATGGTAAATCCTTGGTCAAGATGATCAACACAAATAAACCAACAAAAACAAATCAGTGAATAAGCCACCACAAAGGATTACACGTTACCAAACAACACCACAAACAATTTTGCTTACTGTCTTATGTACTGCAAAAGAAAATTCGTAGTTTACTGCCAACACTTAATTACACGAGGAAACAAGAAAAATAGTGAACGAAAATGTGATATTTTTAAACTTACGTCTCGTGAGTACCAAAGAAGAAGATGGCAAATTTTTTAGGAGGAATTTTCTCGTCTTGTGCAGGAAGATCGATCTAAATCACGAAATAAAACAGTATGTTCATAACAAATGTCTCCTGAAGTTTGCTCACGCACAGGGAACAAACTTCCTAGTTAATTAAATTAGTTGTCTAACATTTGACGACTTACTCGGGCTGGCCAATGCGGGTAGCCACGCATCTTGGCCCAGATTAAGTCACCTGGTGAATAAGACATTCCAAAGGTGTTCGCGAGCAAAATTTTGCGGACAATTCATAAAAAAACACTCAGGTAGCACAACTTCTCCTTGGTGCAGTCAGACAGCTTCCTCTGTGCAATCCTCTCTGTGCATGCATTGGGCTGTGTAACCAAGCCTTTGTAGATCTCGCGCCAGATCACTTGGAACTCTTCCTTTATTAGCGATATGACGCCGTTTTGGGCCAAAAACAGTTATAGCTTTTTCTCATAATGATTCGAGAATGGTTTCCTAAGGAACCACAAGAGAGTTAAGCGTACAAGTCTTACCAAATTCAAACGAAATAACAGAGAAAGAGGGGTGATTATAGTATCACATTTAACTGGATTTTAGGGGAACATTTATCAATTGCTAAGTCTAGAAGGTCGAAAAATGACTATGGATCTTGAAGCCCATTTCTGAAAATGGGTGATGGAAAGAAGCTTGTTTTAGCCTGAAGTAAGGTTAGGACTTGACAAGACAGGTGGTACATACCTATCAAGAATTCCTTCGGTAGACCCTCAATCACTTCTCCCTACCCCCACTTGGAATGAGGAAGAATTTATCTTCAAAACCAGGCAGGTAGACCGAAAAGAAATATCATAGTGCTTGGTAAGGAATTGTGCTCATCTTTCATTATTAATTTTACAATAAAAGAAGTTGCAATCTCAGTCCACTCCTTTAATTTGATACGGTCCTCCTATCATCAGATCACCCCCTTTCCATTAACTAAGGATAGGTGTAATACACTGTCTCAAGAGAGAGTGAGGTGCCAAGCTAATGGTTTCCTGTACACAGGGCTACACCACAAGGACAGAACTCTGGGATGTTAGAGGGAAAAGTGAGATAAAAGATATATTTGATGCTTTCCACCTGCATTTTGAAAAAGTACTGTAACCTCACCAACCCCAATTGTATTCCTAAAAGATCCCCTGAAACTTGCATGTTTGATGAAGTTGAAGCTTTTAATTGCATTGTAAAAAGCTACCTTCTAATAAACCTCTTCAGCAAAGAAATATTTAATGCAGAAATATGGTAAATATGTATGAAATGTAAGTGGTAACTCAAGAAGTATTTCCCCCTTAAAATAAAGCAATATGTATACTGGCTGTTTATCAACAGAAAATGTTTGTTTATTCATCATAATAATTATTTGGTTCCATTCACAATTTCAAGAGTTTCCATCACGATCTCAAGGGACTGCATTATAAATACTTGCACTGTCTAATGGTTAAATATCACAAATGAATAAAATGATGTTATCGCAATTTTGTATATGGAGAGGCATAATTATACAAGTTCCTTATGATTGTCAGCCACCAGACTGAAATGATACCTGACAAGCCTAAGGACTAATTCTGCAAGGTGGGACAAAATAAAGCTTACAGAAACAAACTACAAAAATTAAAAACCTGTCACAAACATAGACACACAACTAGGAAAGCCAGTCTTCTTGATGTTTGCAGGGAGAGAGCAAGACAGTTCATGAACAATGACTGAATTGCCCCTAAACAACTCTATGGAAATCAAAAATGTTGCCGGCCATTAAAGTTTTCCACTTCAGAGTAGTAGTAGACATATATACAAAAAACTTCTGTTTCAATGAACTGCAGAGATAAGGTGCTCTACCATGTATTCTTCTACTTTTACCTGTCATGGTTAATTAATTTGCTTCATCTTTAGAGGAAACCTCTAACTAGATTAAAAGTAAAACATGAAGCTACCTGGTTTATTCTCACAGGAACATGTACAGTACCACTCAAAAGTAAGTTGACAGTTTCCACTCAAAACTCAGAACTGTTGAGAATCGAGAATTGAGCATTAATTTTCAAGGGACTTTCATCTAACATTTGAGTGCCAGCTGTACTGTACTTTGTAAATTTTTTTTATCATGGTAAATCATTGTATGTGAGGTGTCCTTCCAACCCTCCTCCCTCCCCCTCCCTCTACTTTTTCCAATGCAATCTTGATCATCCATCATAATCACACCTAACAAAAAGGCTCAATGATCATCTGTATGTCACAATTTAAGGAAGCCCTCAAAAATTTCCATAGATGACGTAATCATAGACCAGGAGAATTTGTTTGAATCCGCTATCACAAATAAAAACTTTGTAACTGCCAAAATACAATAAAAATTATGGTAAACTTGCTAGCTATGCATTGCTATCCACTTTATAAATACTAGTTATATCACAAACCTTGGATGTTCATATTATTTCATCACTAAATTCAAAAAAGTGCATATGAAACATATTTTCATTTACATGATACTCAGATAATTAATTTGCTATTAAAACTACAAGTTAAATTGCAGTCATACCATACCCAATAGAGGCAGTTTAACTTGTAGCAATTATGCAAAGTAAACCTGTTGCCCTGGGCTTCTTAAGATGACTGTTGACAATTTTATATATAAATAAAAAACTTACAGCAAACCAGAGAAAAATTTAAGCAAAATTAATTACACACACTAAGGCAGTCTCCAGGCACTGAATGTCTCACTTTCAGTCCTCCCAAAAAGTTAAACACATTGTTCTGTACTAATAAATTAATGACTGTAATATACAAAGTCATAAAATTATACATTAAATGCAACTCTCTTGGTGTCATGGATATTATCATCATTAAGTTCACTTGCATTTCCTCTTTCAAATGTTTAAAGGGAACCTCCACTCTTCAGGCAAATATTTCTCAAAAGGGTAAATGTATCAAACTTAAAATATTTGGAACTAAAAATTGTTCCTCTAACCTTGTTAGTTCTTTTTCTGCCTTTACAGCAAGTTTGAACTTCCTTTGTCTGCCATCTTGTTGAGTGCCCAAGGCACTCTGGGTTAATGACATGTAATGATTGCTGGGCCTCTGCCATGATCCAATGAACAAAGCTATCTGTACTTCCATTAGGTATGATTCATGGAAGGAATGGCCCTCGAAATGTTCCAAATCGCACATCATTAACTGTTGTCATTTGGGAAGCTAAAAAAGCAAAGCTTGGGATCCTGCTTGGTTTTGGCCCGATTACTGCACTCAAAAGTTATGCAATGAGATATTTTTCTAGGGAAAGCCCAAGGAACCCCCCCCCCCCCCAAAAAAAAAAAAAAAAAAGAACAGAGCATCCATTACATGTCATCAATCCAAAATGCCTTGCACATCTTAAAAAAATCGGCACACATGGGAAGTTTGGAGTTGCTATGAAGGCCAGTTTTGAAGGCCAAAAAAAATAAACAACGTTAGAGGAATAATTTTAAGTACCAAATATCTTGTGTTTGATACATTTAAAGACTTTTTTGTGATATTTGCTTTAAGATCAGAGATTCCCTTTATGATAGTACATAACCATTTCAAAAGAAAATATTTTCATATGCACTCTAAAAAGACATTTGAGGAGTTATAATTATAATGATTGTTATCTGCCTTGTTCAGCATGAACAACCTGCTTGCGGTTCATCATTTGCTTCATCAACTTCTCTTAGTTTTGTACCTCTGTTGGGATTGTTGTTGAAAACACCATTAGGTAATGTGGCTTTGTCCACACAATTTTCCATTCTTGCCATAACCTGGAAAGTTAAAATAAAAGAAAAGTTGCTGCAATACACTAAAGTTCAAGTAAAGACTGGTTACCATTGCATATTGAGAGTAACAAGTGATACTTATTTTGGCTTATTCTGTGGGACTGAGTGTCCTAAAGGAGGCTCCATATGGTTTTTGCTAAATGTTGGCACACGCACTACCATATTGTTTTTCAAGCAAATTTTTATGTTTTAGCTTTTCAAGGTCACTAAAAGCCATCAAAGGCAATGAGCAAGGTTTGGACTATCATTTGCTGTAGTAAATGTTATCAAAATGATTTTTGTTATTAAGCTAAGGTTCCACGAAGGGAGGCACTCACCAGTGATAATTTGGCTTTGCCTTTGATTTTCTTCAATTTGCTTAGGTGAAATCTCTCAAAATTTTTACATTTTGTGAAAATTGTCCTGCCAATCATTTAAAAGCCAAAAGAAATAGAGGTTACAAAGGCAGTTTCCTTGCTATTTGCAATTGTGTTTTCTTCCTCTATCTCAAGTTTGTTCTTATGAATTTTTTTTATCAACAGGCACTAGGAAGGGCACAAATATGCTTAATGGTCCAGCAAATCTTAGGGAATGTGATAAATCTTACTCAAAAGGCCCCTATTTCATAAAACATTACAAAATGGAAGGACTTTGCCAATATTGGTATCTGTGTATGCGTAGGACTTTCAAATCTGTCACCTTTCGGCAATCTTTCCCACCATGTTTTCTTTTTGTTTGACCTCTTTTTAAGGCATAGAAGGCCTATAAATGTTGCGGGTGTGGTTGTTGGAACCCTAGATTCCATCACAAAAAAACTATATTGTGTTAAACTGTTTTTAACACACCTTTTCAGATTATTTTATATGTTAACACTTTTAAAGCTCATGCTATGTTTGCACCCAGATCTCATGCAATCAAAAAATCCTACAAAGCCTCCTTAAGATGCACTTTCTTACCTGGTCAAGCAAGGCCTCTACTGATTTGCTCACATTTTGTCCATTAAATGCACTAGTCTCAAAGTATTTCAGACCCAGATTCTCTGCCAGTGTCCTGGCTTCATTTTCGTCAACTTGTTTTTGGTCCTCCAAGTCTGCTTTATTACCAATTAAAACTACAGGAAAGAAAAATAAAACAGTAAAGTACACAGTCACTTAACTTACAAAACATATGCTGCTGCTGCTCTGGAATTGGCCATTAACACAATGACAGGCTTGGTTTTGTTGAACTAGGTTGGGTTGTAGACTGGTCTAGTCCACATGACCTCTCTGGACACTTGAAAAGAATTAGAGCAGGAGGTTCAAGCAATTGATGATCTTGATTGAAGAAAAATATATGCATAATAAACTCTCTGACTGTATAATGCAATAGAGATAAGCAGTTAAGTGAGTAAGTAACTTAGCAGTATTTACCCAGCTTTCTGATTCTATGACAACCAGGCTAACCCAAATGATTGACATGACAGTAACACACTACTGAGATATGAACTTAAATTGGACTAAACAGAAGGAATTTCACATCGTGTTTTCTAAGGACACACCATAGGCCTTTTTTTAAT